CCCGCGCGCTCTCGCCGCCACTGCCCGGCAGGCGGCCAAGCGGCGAGCCGTGGCCGAACTCATCTTCTTTGCGGGGGTGAACGACTTGAGGCGGTGTCGGCAGATGGCTGCGACTTGGAACATTGACGTGAGCGGCCAAAAGGACAGAGTCGCGTTCCATGCGCGAGCCAGTCCGTTTGCATGCGCCGTGTGTGGTGGCGGCCGGGTGCGAACGCGTGCCGCGACGTGCGGTCCGGCGTGCAGACGCCGCCATCGGTGGTGGGTGTAATATCCAGGCAGAGCAGCAGGCCCAGGTGTCCCCGCCAGCAGCGCGGCCCTCATTTTGGGCGGACAGCCGGCAGCGGCCCCGCGGTGGGCCCGGTTGCTCGGCGCACGCGGAGAGCCCGCAACCGCTGCGTGCAAGCGAACTGCTCCCATCTTCCTCTCCGTCTCTTCGTCTCCATGACACTGTGGGTGTGAAACCCGTCGCATCTCATGTGATTGGTCTCGCGATCACAGGTCACTGATAAGGGCTGCATGGATTACGACAAGCGGACGCCGCTGTGAGTACTGCGCGGCGGCGCTGCTCAAGTGGCTGGGGCCGGGGGCTGCGGCGCGCGGGGGCCGGGCGCGAGCAGGCCGCGCCGAGCTCACGAGAGGGGGGCGGGACGGCCTGAGGAGGGCCGTTATCTGGAGCCGGCTGCACTGCTGGGCAGCTGCGGAAGGTCGCGCCAGCTGCTGCACAGGGGCGTCTGCAGTAGATGGCTCGTCGCTTGCAACGGGGAGCAAGGGTGGCCGTGCGGCGGGTGGCCGTGCGGCCTGTGGCCGGCTGGCGGCCGTCGTCCGGTTGCAGGTGGCTAACGTGTTTGCTGGTCATCCGCGCGTCGCAGGCACATCTCGGCAGCTGAGGGGGCATTCAGTGTGGGCCAGTGGCTGCTGGACAGCGGCGCCGACCCCAACCCACTGGATCGGCACAACCGCACGCCCCTGGAGGTGCGGCCTAGCAGCCGGTGGCTTGGGCCGCGGCGCGCGATGGGTCGCGACGGCGGCGGCTCAGGCTGGGCGCAGGCGGCATCCCGCGTTTGGCAACCCAACGAGCTGACGGGCCGCACCGTTCCTGCGCTGGCTGTCATCGTGCTTACAGGCCCCATCCTCAGCCGCCTCTGCGCCCCTGGCCGCCTCGGGCCCTCGGTTGGCACCGCCGCCCTCCCCCTGCCAC